CCAAAAAAAAAAAAAAAAAAAAAAAAAAAAATTAAATAAATTTTCTCCCCAAACCTGCTTCTCCAGTTTAACTTAAATTACTTAGTGATGCTGAATTGTTCTCCTGTTCTTAATTTTTTAAATCAAGTTCATGGTTTCCTCTTCCTCCAAAAAAGTAAAACTCCCAAACGAATCAAGAACAAAAAAGTCCTTCAGTATGGCACTCAACCCTTACTCATGAGTCCAAAGAAAGAATGGGGAAATGATTTTTTGGACAGATGTGGAGGTACATGCCTATAATCCTAGCACTCGGAGACTGAGATAGGAGGATCTCTAGAGGCCAGACTGAGCTACCAAAGAGAGTTTAAGGCCAACCTGAATTGCATAGTGAAACCCTGTTTCAAAAAGAACCCCCCTCCAGAAAAAGAAAAAAGGATTTCTTGTAAGTGATAGGGTTGGATTATGAGTAATACAGTCCAGACAATAACCTGTCAGGTGACAAGACTATCAAACTACTCTAAAGACACACCTTCCAATCAGCTTGTGCTATACTATGTGGCTGGGCCAGCAAGAGAGAGGGAACTGGAGGGGAACGGGAGGAAGTGTGGGGCTTTTCTGTGAAGCAAAGGAAGTACTTTTCAGGCTTGGGGTGTCCAGAGGAAAGAACAGGGGCAGGCGGAACACTCGGCAAAGGCACAGTCTAGACTAAGGCTGACAGCTACTAAAATCAAAAATTAGGTCCATCAAACGAGGGTGCACTAACCAGTGTTCTGTAGGTCAGAGTTTATACTGTGAGAGAGATAACAGGAGGACTTAGGTCTCAGTAAGACAGGAAACAATAGAGTAAAGGCAAGTCAGATATGGTGGTGCATCCTAGAACCTTGGGAGACTGAGGTAGCAAAATCATCACAAGCTCAAAGCCAGCCTGAACTACACAGAAAGAGCCTCTCTGTCTCAGTGATGTACGAAGCCCTGGATTTGATCTCCAGCACCACAAAAGCTAAGAGAAATAGAAAAAGAAAAACCCAGGCCAGGTAGCCATCCCTATAATCCTGGCACTAAAGCTGAGACTGGAGGAAGGAGTGGGTGTCTGAAGCCAACCTGGGCTACACAGTAACTGTCAAAAAAAAAAAAAACACCAAAATAAACTGAAAGAAACAGAGTAAAGGCAATACAAAACAAGTCCTGAGAATGAAAGCATGAAAGAGAATTTCAGATGAAATAACATTTAGTAAGGTCAAACTTCTTAGCCCTGGGTAGTGGAAGAAACCAGACAGCTGAGAAGAAAGGGGAAGAATGGAAAGAAGTTAAATTTAATTTCTTAAATCATAAAACTAGGCCAGGTGTCCAAGCGTGGAGGTTAGCATATGTATCATTCCCAGCACTCCAGAGGCTGATGCAAAAGATCCAACTCAAGACTAGTCTGGGCTGCACAGTGAGTTCAAGTGAACTACACAGGGAGACCTTGTCTCAAAAAACAAAACAAACCAAAAAAGACAACAAAAAGCATACAATTAAAGAAATTAAGCACAGGAAAGTAAATCTGACACAACATCCACAATGTTTTAAACTAAGCTTGGAGAAAGCCATACAGATAAGGGTCCTGTTTGCTCTACACAAAGCAGCAAGTTTTTTGATCATACCAAAGAATGTCAGGAGCCACAACTACTCAGTTCCTTCAAGTTCTGTGCAGTTTGTGAAGTAGGATACAACTGGGAGGAGGTTCTCTTAGAGCTCATCACCTGAGTACCAACTCAGGCTCTAGACAACTCTCTGCCTCTGAATCCTACTGCTCTGAGAAGAAAACGGGAAACTCAGAAACTGGGGTACCGCAAGAGGGGTGAAGGTGCTCAGGAAATGTCACTCTGAAACGCGCTCTCGGTGCTCACTGGTTACTCCAGACTGAGTATTTCAGGAACGTAAATGCAGCGAGGGGCTTTCTCTGAAGTTCCCTGATCTGACCAAAGGCAGGAGCGAAAGCCACCACCTAAACCCACAAGGATTCCCCCGTACTCCGCGAGCAGGCTCCAGCCAGCCGGCTTCTTCCAGCCTATTCTGTGGGACTTCCTTGCATGCACTCGTAACGAAAAGCTTTTTGTTCTGTTCTCTGTCTAGTGTATTTCACAGACTCAATCAATGGCCGGGATCCTTCGAGGGATAGCTTTTGTTGCTGTTTTCTGGCTGGGGAGGGAAAAAAAGAGGGAGGTGTCGAGGAGGTAAAAATCTAAAATGCTAATTAGATACTAGGTGAGTCACTGCTTTGAGTTTCAGTTTCCCCAGCTGTTAATTAAAAAAAAAAAAAAAAAAAAGACAAAAGCTACCTTAATGGACTTCAAGGGCTGCATCATTCCAAGAATCTAGAGGATGCCTAATGTGTTATAATCACTAAACGTCACTCGTTCACGACATCAATACTAGGGATGATGTTCTTTTAAGCATCTTTTTTTTTTCTTTGGTTTAAGACAGGGTCTTGTTAGGCACTCTTGCTTGGCCTTAAAACTGTTACGCAGCAGCCCAAGCTGGCCTGGAACTCGCAATCCTCCCGCCTCAGCCTTCAGAGGCACCACCACGCCCAGCTTTAAACACTCGGGTTAACCGCCGCGTCCCTCCTGAGCCCTCTCTGGGCGCTGTTACTTCCCACGCGGAGGGCCGAGGCGCCGCCGCAGGGAGACCCCGCCGCGGCGCCGGAGGAGGCGGGCCTGCGCGCTCGCCTGCAGAGGTCTGCGAGTCGCCGCGCACCCGCCGGCCGCGGCCCCCGACTCACCTT